GTGGTAAAGAGAGCGACTGGATCGGTTCATTAACTTTTTATGGCTAACTGCGATCTCTTAACGATCTGGCTCTTTCTCTTTTACTCAGCTAAGGAGGCAGCAACTTTCGAAAGGTAAATGAACTTCCGGTTCGCTGGAAATTCCATTAAAGCGATAAAGAAAAACTTTTGGTTAAATACCCCCCGATACTCGATATGGTCTCCCCTTCGCTTGAGCTCCCTTTTTCAATGTGTCTCTCTATCTATCATTCGCTCTCTTTGGCAAATCTCTGTATTTGCACAATTGGTTTACCTACACACTCACACGAACACGTGAACCTTAAGTACATTTGTCTGTCTTTCTATCCAAATCTTGTGGGGAGGGGGAAAGGGGCAAGGCGGAGGCATTCCAGATACTACGCAGCACAAATAAATAGCAGTGTATTCGCTGGGGAACCCACCAAGCTATAGGCTATAGCTTCTCATTCAGTATCTCGGCCTGGGAATAGGTCAGGAATCAGCGGGAGAGTATTCGCAATTCTAGCTCATTCCGAACTTTTTGTATCTGTATCTTTTGAGGCAAACTGCTGCGCAAATCGAATTCTCAGGCGGCGGATAAAGACTTAAAGCTTAGAGTTTGATAACTATTTGCATAATCAAGGCGGATAAGGAAAAGAATAAGAAGAAAGATACTTTATAATCGAATTTTAGATATTTACTACATAAAGAAAAGGAATAATGAAAAGTGAAATAAATATTATTTAAATTTGATTATTTTTAATGTAAAAAAGCAGGAAAAATAAAGATAAAATAATGTCATAAAAAGAGAGATCATTTTAGGAAATGAATATTAAATATGTATTATAAATTATATAGTATAAATTAATGTTACTGTGAGAATTGATTAAAAATGTATTTTTTATTAAAGGCCAAGTTAATTATATATAATTTATAAGGAGTTGTTTATAATTATAACTATTTATAAGATTTAAATATAAGAAAGGCTCTTCCTCATCTAATATAATTGTAATTATTATATTGGCAATATAATAATATTCTCTAATATTTTCCCTTCAAGCTTATCAACTTTATAATCCTCTTAATTATCTTTCTTTCTCCACATGAATGCATTTTATATTTGATATTATACCAAGCATTATGCATAATATTCTTCAACTTTAATTCTTCAAACTTTTATGGTTAATAATAAATATATAATATATGCATATGCATATATTCCCTAGAGTGTTAACTCCCTTTCCCCCACATTGTCTGTCGGCGGCTAATGGCCGCGGCATTAGCTCCATGGCCGACTGGTTGTTGCAACAATGTTGCGCTAATAACTCAAACGTGCAACAACCTTGCCACAGCACCCTGTTTCCCCCTCGGATCCTCCTGCCCCGAAGATTTTTACTGCCGCCGCCGCCGCTGCCACTTCTCCCAGACAGATTGAGACCAATTAGTGTGGCTCAGAAATCCGCTTGCTGCAAACGGAACTGCAACGGGCGGCTAACTGTTAGTCCGCCGCTGCAACAGCGGATTCAGTCGCTCCGCCATGGAATGTTGCATGCACGCGACGCTCTCGGCTGGGCTCTTGCCTCTCGCAGGCTCAGTCTCCGTCTCCATCTCCGTCTCAGACAGAGTCCCAGTCCCAGTCTCAGTCCCAGTTACAATCCCAAGCCGGGGCCTCAGCCACGCCAAGAGCCAGAGTCAGCGATCTCTGCCAGCGCCTAGACGATCGCGGCCTACTTTCTCCACATTCCACCGGCAAACGGCGACGACGACGACCACGACGGCGACTTTGTTGGCCAACTTGTGCAGCCAGCGCGGCAGCAGAAGAATAAGCAGCTAGCAGCAAAGCAGTTAGCAGCTAGTGGCAGCAATGCTAGCCGGCAAAACTAGACAAACCACAAAAAGCCAGAGCCAAAGCCAAGTTCAGGCAGCCCTACAATGTTGGCTTTCAGTGATTGCAGCAAGTAAAAGAAGGTCCAGTAAATATATAGAATTCATTCTTAAGAAGATTATAAAGTCAGATGTTTATATCAAACACTTTTGATTAATTTATAAATAAAATTTGCATAAAATATACTAAAGAAGAAATAGAAGAATCAATTCTATTTCTTGGGGGTTTAGGTGATTATCCAGTGAGGATAAGAAAAGTCTATTAAGAATTTGGTTGTGTTCTAAGATCAGTTGGTAACTGTAGGAATCAAAGAATATATACTTGATAGAGTTCCTATCTGCCACTTCAGATCGTAGACGTTTTAAAAATTACAGAATAGTAACACCCTAGTTATACCCTCACAAAGTATTATAATTTTGGTCAAAAGCTTAAAACGCTGTGAAGGACTCATTTCCGACCCTATAAATCATATATATTCTTGATCAGCATAAACAACCGATTCATTCTAGCTTCCTCCGAAAGAAAAGAAAATTTTTAATTTTTTTGAAAATTTTATAATTTTATCGTTAAAATTGTCAAAAATTAAAATAAAAACTTCATTTTTTAAAATATCAAATAGAGTATGCAGATTTATTAACCCAATAAAAACTAGCATAGAACAGCTTTCCGATTCGAAATTAATGCTTTTTTGGTTAATTTATGAGTTTTTCAATATTTGACTTGTCATACAAAAATACCAACAAATATTGAATCAAAGAGTGCGAATTCAATTGCAAACTTCAAGGGAATTTAGGCTTCGGCTTCCCGAAGTTAGTTTCCTTTCTTGTTTTTTACTGAAACCAGTTGAGAATCATAAATAAATTCAATACAAATAACCGGATGTCAAGGAGTTTTTTACTTGTCATTTGAAGGTGCTTCTGTTGATCGTTGGCTTTTGGGCTCCAGACTTCTGGACACGCTCCATGTGGCGTCGCTGCCAGTGGCGCTGCCTCTGCCTCTGCCTCTGCTGACCATTGGGCAGAGCGCTTTTACCGTTCACAGTTTTAGCGATTGCATAATCTCTGTCGCGTCGTTGTTGCTTCGTCGGCGTCAAAGCCGGCTTCGTCAGCTGTTTAACGCGTTTTTTTTCGTTGGGTTTTATTTCATTTATTTATTTTTTTGTGCTTATTTGCTTGTGTGTTTGCGCTCGTTTGAATAAATGAATGAGTAGGTATGAGTGTGAGTATGAGTGTGAGTGTTCATTCAAATGCGGTGGTGATTACCCGCTCTCTTTACCTCGAACCGAAAGTGTGGCAATCTCATTTCGCTCGGCGATCGCTTTCCGCTGTTGTCGCTGCTCTGCACACGCGCCGCTTCGCACTTTTAGTTCATTTACCTGGGGAATAGTCTAACTGTTCATCCCCACCTGTCCCCCCCTTCAAGACCATGGATTTCTAGATCTTTTTCTCCATTTCTTTGGGTTTTTATTTCTCCTTTTTTTATGTTTTTTGTTTAGCTTTTTTTCGGTGTCTTAAAATAGCCGCATGATTTATGTATTTTGCGGTTGCTCCACGAGTCTCCACAAGCGAGCGTGTCTTGCATGATTGCCGCAACAGCAACAGCAGCAAAAACAACAACAACAATCGGACTTGGTCGTTGTCTTTCTTAAAATTTAAGAATTTTAATTAAATCGAAAGAAATTTCGAGCGGGGTTAAGGAAGACTGCAATGGAGCTTATATTTAATAAATAATATTAATGGGATAGATATTCGACTGTATCTTACTATTACTACAATTGAAATTAAATTTAAGAATAGAATATAAAATAACAAAACTAATTAAATAAACCGAAGTTTGTTTACCCTTCAGGTAAGCTATTGGGTCAAGAAACCGTATATAAAATCGTTCATAACTATGACAAAAATGCATTAAATTTCAATCCGAAAACTGTTCTGTGTTAGTTTTTAATATGTTTATAAATCTTCATACTCAATTTAAGATTTAAAAAATTATTATTTTTTTTTTATTTTTGAAAAATTTTAACAATGTAACCCCTTATAAAATTTTCAAAAAATTTAAAATTTTTATTTTCTTTTTGAGATGTCTAAAAAGATTCAGCTGTTGATGCTGATCAAGAATATATATGATTTATAGGGTCGGAAATGACTGCTTCACATATATAAAAGCCTCGGACTGAAATTATAATACCCAGGAAGGGTATAAAAATAGTCTTCGATTTAAGAAAACTCTGGCATACATGGCGTATACTTAACGTGAACACAATTAAATTAAGTATACGCCACGTGTGTCTAAAGGAAGAATAGCTTACACATTAAAAAAGATAAGCAGATTCAGTTAAAAAGATAGCTTAGCAGTTAAATTATAAGATCGAATCGGAAATCAATCATAACTAAGCATCAAATTTGTTCGACCAATCAAAGTTTAAAAATCTCATAACTAATAGCCAAAAATGCATTAATTTTAATTCGGAAAGCGTTTCTATGTTAGTTTTAATTAGGTGAATAAATCTGTTTTTTCGGAGATAGCTAGAAAGATTCGGCTGATGCTGATCAAGAATGTATACGATTTATAGGGTCGTAAATGACTCCTTCACTGTGTTTCAAGCTTCAGACTGAAATTATAATGGCCTAAAAGGGTATACAGTTTGTACTATATAAAAGCAAGTCTATAATATTTAAAAATCATCTTACAGATTTTTTTATACTCTGTACATTTACTTTATGATAAAGTAAATTAGTTTATTAATATTTTGTGAAAATTTTATTAAATACTAAATACTTAAATAATGAGTCTAATGGAAATATAATGTTCCTAGATTTCTATAGAATTTAACTCCTTCTCTGAAACGCGTAAATTTGTCACTCTTTCAAATAAATAATTAAATACACACAATCTATGTTCGTATTTAAAAGGCCCCCTTATCAGTTTCCAAACAAAACAAAACAAAAAGAATTTGCGGAAGTAAAATACCTAGAAGATGATAAGACGCTTCCCCAACGTTTATTACAATCGAGAGCAGAAACAGAAAGTGATGTGCGATCGCTCTGAAATGAAGTCTAAAATCGTAGAAGCTATATTTATTGTCAGCTTGGTAATTTGTTTGCAAAAACAAATCACAGCTCAATTTCTTGAGCCGGAATGCGGAGCTCTAAGGATTACAAAGAGAGTGGTAAATGGCACGGATGCGGAGAAAGGACTATATCCTTGGATGGCCTACATACACATGGGAAAGCACTTAGCCTGTGGTGGCACTCTGATCAATCATTGTGAGTTGGTTACTTTTTAATATAAATAATCAAAGGAATATAAAATATAAGTGCAATTTTTCAGGGTTTGTTCTATCTGCGGCGCACTGCATTGCTAAACCCAAGGGACTGTAAGTAGTCTTAAATAGAAACAGGCTAAGATAATACTGCAAATACTTTTCCAACTTGCAGTACAGTCAGTCTGGGCGTGTATGAGAGCAGCGATTTGGAACCCTCGAAACTTTACCGAGTGGAGAGGTTCTTTAAGCACTGGAGTTTTGTTAAATCTAGGGAAGGCAGCGACATAAGTCTATTGAAGCTGGCCAGAAAGGTGGAGTTCTCAGGTAGGTCCTGGGCCAATAATATATGATTATTTACTGATGTCCAACATCTTCCTAACAGCCCACATTAGACCCATCTGCATCCTAACAGACTCGATACTAGAGCTGGAACGTGTTCCATGGTTTTTGGTCATTGGCTGGGGTAAAACCGAACCAGATGGCAACACGAGTCCTGTTCTCCAGACCAAGATCCTTGAGAGGAGGGATAAAAGTGAATGCAACTGTCTCGATTCACAGATATGTACGGTGGCCGAAAGTGGAACCATTTGCTTTGGGGACTCCGGAGGACCTGTGGTCCGGGAGCTTAAGATTCAGCAAAAGAGTCGCTACGTCCAGTTGGGGGTTAGCAGTTTTGGAACAGATCATTGTAGTGCTCATGGTGTTTTCACAGATGTCCTCAGTCACACAATGTGGATACAATTTGTTGTGGGACTGCATACACCCAATGATGGTTAGAATATGGATTTTAACTATGTTTGTTATATGTTAATTTGTGTTTTTTTTATAGTATTGTTGTATTGTATAGTAAAAATTATAAAAATAGAAGAGTAATGATATGTGAAACGAAAATAAATAGATGTTTATATACTATACATAATATATGTTATTTATTTTTATTATAAACAATGTATATATTCATTGTTTATGGTTCCATGAAAATAGAAATTCCATGTCTTATGTTCGTCTTAATCTATATAATGTTTTCTCTGGAAAACTGATAAGCCTGGTGGCGACTATATAATCAAGGTTTAAGAGTATTTCAGAATTAGAGAGTGATCAGTGCTCGAAGCGGAATGAAGAGCTTATTATTCTTTGTTGGAATTGTCCTGACAGCTGGCCAAATCAGGGCTTATCTGCTGGAACCGAACTGTGGTATCCCTTCAACTACATTGTTACAGCCAAGGATTATTAATGGAACGACTGCAGAGATAGGATCTAGTCCTTGGATGGCATATCTCCACACGCCTACACATTTCCAATGTGCCGGATCTCTGGTGAATCATTGTGTGTATTATAAATTAATTTATTTCTTATATGTTTCAAACGAAATATTGAGAGTCTTATCTCTTTTCAGGGCTGGTCTTGACAGCAGCACATTGCCTGCACGAGGACGAAGTGCTGTGAGTATAGCGTGGAATATATATATATTTCGGATATATTATCCTTTAATAGAACTGTTCGCCTTGGCGAGTATGATCGAAAGTCCAAGACGAAGGACTGTCAAGGTGGACGCTGCCAGGGTCCTGCCGAGGAGTACGAGATTGAGACGGCTTTTAGGAGCCGCCGATACAGTAGGGACGATCAATCCAATGATATAGCCATCTTCAAACTGGCCAGAAGGGTGGAGTACAAACGTAAGTAAGAGTTTCCCTATATCTTTATATAGTTCTTTATAGTAATACCTTCCTTTCAGCTCACATTCAACCCATTTGCATTTTCATGGATTCACGTATGAAGGAGCAGATTGATAATCTCACCTGGTTCACAGCCACCGGTTGGGGAAGGACAAGTGCCCAAGGCAAGACAACCCAAATCCTTCAGACCTTGGCCATTAGGCGACAGATTAACCAAGAGTGTGCCCAAATGTTTGGCCGTGCTGTAGGCCCCAATCAGATCTGTGCTGGCAATGAGTTCAGTAATCTTTGCAATGGTGACTCTGGTGGTCCTGTGGGCAGATTGCTAAACTATCAGGGAAAGGCTCGTTTCTTTCAGTTGGGCATTAATAGCTACACGAACACACAGTGCCGACACCTCAGTGTCTTAACGGATGTGATTAGCCACAGGGATTGGATCCAAAGGGTGGTGGACTACAAAAATACCCCTCAGGTTCGATCTATGAGACCGGAGACTGGGGAAATGCCTAGATTTGTGTATTCATTGTAATGAAATTTCTCTCGGCAATCGATAAATTGGTTTATAATTTATTAAGAACTCCTATACATTAATTTTATTTACTCTTTACTTAACTTTCATTGCTTCAAAAACCCCAATTAAAAAAAGGAACAGAAAAGTATTTCAATAAATGTTGACTTTTGCTGTGACAACGGCAAGGGTTCGTCTGCTGCCGATAAGTGACGGTCAATAAATGTAAAATTAAATACGACAAACAAATTGATTTATTAATTGGCCAACTTGACAACTTGTCCTGTCCAATGCACTTCGTTTGCTCTGGCCTCCTTGAAAATTCGGGTCTTTGGGGACCGATGTCTGGCTCAAGATGCTGCAAAACGGAATCTTTGCCGGAGACTCAAATTAATTTCGATTTGTTGCAGCTTGTTGCAAGTTGATCCTTGTGGAATTTTCCCAAACGGACGGACGGATGGACAAAGCTTTTCCTAATTGTTATTGCGTAGTCTTAGTCGTAGTAGTTTCGGTGTCAGTGACTTCCTGCCTTGTTGAGCTGCCAATTCCCGGAGGCCAATTTGTTTATTGGCTTTGCGATTTCCTCGGCTTGAAGCTGGGAAGCTGCTGCGAATTTGGTGTTAAAATTTAAAGCGGATTTGCATTTGTAAGCAGCCATTTGGCCATACGATTTTGTCTTCTTTAATTGGCCTTAATAATACCCATTGGCCATAAATAAAAGGCAGCCACATGAGTTACGATTGCAACTTGCACATTTTTAATGCATTTCGTTTCGTCCGGCACTCTTGATAATTAGCGAGCAGAGCTATCCCTTCAACCTACAGCTCTCCGGGCTCTCCAGCTTTCTGACTGCGATCCTTGCACAATTTATGGCACTTTGCCGGACAGGGACGGGGACATTGCTCAGGCGACTTGTCACAAATTGAATCCGGATGGGGAATGCAAACGGGGCGCCATTTGCCGTCCCGGGGTCATCCATAATGCAGAGCGTGGCAGCACCTCCGAGCTGGTACGGGTATCCTTCAAGTGGCGTCCAATTGACAGGACCGTGTCTCCTGTCAGGACCCGCCCGCCCTACCCGTCGCGCGAGTCGTTTTGGCCATTCATCCTCTTAACCTGGGTACGAAATTCATTGAATTTCAAATGCGACTCTGTTCGATTGCGGACTGTTTGCTTGCTGTTCGTTGTATTTTCCTTTTTTTTTACTTTTCACTTCCCTTCAGAAGCTCAATTGGCCAGTTCCGAAGTTGGCCACTTCAATTTGCATTCGTCCATTCATGATTCATTCAGAAAGAGAGAGAGAGCGCAGCGGCCAAGAAGGTTGCCGCCGGCTTGCTCCTTGCCAGGAACTATTAATTATTTTTGCTCCATTTTCGTTGTTTTCCTGCTCCTGCTGCTGCTGACGACAACACCTGCTGGCTGAATCGGATGAAGAAGGGCTGGGATTTGGTTGAGGTTGAGGTTTTTGGTTGCAGGACACCCACTACGAGGTCCTTGTCCACGTACTGTCCCTTGACAGTTGTTGCGTTACGTATACGCAGCGTTGATAATTGTTACGCATACGCCATGGCGGCCAGCTGATGTTGATAATGATGATGATGAGTTACGAGTTTGTCCTATTCCCTGGCCTGTCTACTCCTGTCTCTTAATGTCTCCCTAATCAGAATTGGAGACATTTGTCATCATCTTGAGTCCGCCCGGTTGTTAAGCAGAAAATATATGCCAGGAAAATGTGAAATATTATCTCATCATTTTTCATAGGTGTCCCTGAAAGCGGGTAGGACGTCCTCAATAATTTAAGCTCACACAGCAGCAGCAGCAGTCACTTGTTAACAATTAAAGTCAAGAGCTGTAACCTTTTGCCGGCGACACGAGCGAACAAGGAAAATTCCGGGGAAAAACCAAGACAGAGAGTGAGAGAGAGCAGGCACACAATAAATAAAAGATGCAAAGCAACGAAATAAGAAACTATGGTGGAAGGTTTGCTCCTTCGGTGGCTCCTTCTATTATTATGAGCGATGATGATGTTGCTGTGCCGCCTTCGTCCTTCGTCCTTCATCCTGTTTCCTATAGTCCCCTCCGCCCCTTGGAGACCTCAGCGCTGCATTCTCCCGTTGACAGCGCAAAGTTGAATTGTTTATTTGACTTTTAGTTGTTTTCTTGCCGTTGAAATGCGAGCTGCACCGCCCTTCCATCTATGGCCGGGAAAATCTAAGAATGACGATGGGGTCGGCGGGGAAAAACTGAGAAGCTGTGTGGCAAGTTTCTGCCCTTTGGCTTCAAAGAGTTGTGTGAGTCGTGTGAGAAAAGGCACGAAGAGAGGATGGGAGAACTTTCCGTTCTTCGTCGCTTGTTGCTGGCGCTGTTTTCTGCTAGGATCCTCGGGTCCCCCTTCAGGCAGTCAAACAAGTTAAGTACACAATATGCAAAGCATCCTGGCCCAACCCCCCTGACGCCTCTCGTTTCCATCCATTTTGGCCACAGGACATGGCCGCAGTGCAGAGCAAACTGTTGCTGCTCCCGGCAATCAAATGAGTCCTTGGCTCTTCTTCCTTTTTCGATGAAGCTTGCAACAGAGAGAGAAATGTTACCAAGGTCTTGATTAATTGATATTTAATATATAACAATTTCCAAGAAGGATAATTTGTTATAATATAAAATCCCAAGACATTTTAGAGTTATCTCTTTGGAGTTTCTCCTCGTCGTTCTTTCTGAACAAAATTTTCTCAGTGCCCCAACTGTCGATGTTTGAGGATGATTCCAAAATTGTTGCGCAAATCAGTCTGAAGCCTCCTAAGGATTGCATATATGCCTTTCAATTTCGTGCCTTTGTGGCCGGGGCCACCAAATGTTGCCAGAGATGCAAATTAGTAGAAGGACTACAACAAAGCCTCATATATTGCTTTTGAGGGCTTTCGTTGGTAACCCAAGCCCCCTCCCCCCCATTTTACCTCCTTCTCTCCGGCTCACACTAATTGATTTGCATATAAGCAAAAATTTTTTTAATTACCAAAAACCCAAGCGAAGTTCTCCGTGGCAGAAAACATTCAGCCGCTGTTTACCCAACGTCATGTGGGCGGGCGGGCAGTTGCTCGAAAAGGACCAGGACCAGGGGCCAGGGACCAGGGGCCAGGGAGGAGGACCCAAACCCAGAGAGGTATAAAACCCGGCCTGAATGGCACTTGAAACTTTAGACAGTGGCATATTTCCATTGCATAAATCTGGGCAACAACGCGCAGCGATGGCAAACACAGAATGGCGACCACTAAACGCGCGCTAAATGCGGTTTAGCTTTTGGAAACTGTATGAAATGTGGTCACCAGCAGCGAGGGGAAGCCCCGGAATCCGGGTATTGTGGGTGTGGGTGTAGGAGGAGGAAGGAGGAGGAAGGAGGAGGAGAAGGATGTTTTTGGTTGGACAGGTGCTGCCACGTGTTTAGTTTTGCTGCGCAACTGGTCAGGTAGGGATCCCAGCTGAGAGAGAGAGCGAGGGTGGTATGAAAAAGAGTCTGGGGATACCGCTGAGGTGGCAGCACAGATATGTTAGAAGAGCCTCTGCTGGCTCCTGGATGTTATATATATATCCCTAACTCTTTTCGGTTTCCTAACCTTGTACGTGAACGGAATGGGTAACATGACTTTGGTTAGAGGAATGTGAGGTTGGGGTTTAAGGGAACTTTGGATATATACTGCAATTCTTTATATCAATTAAAGTAATATTAAAAATTTTGTGTAGAAATTAAATGTCAACGGAAATAAAACTGCAAGATAAGTATATCTAAGTAAGCCAAATAGATATTTTTATATGCAACTTTTTTAGGTAAATCAATGTTTTAAAAATCTCATAACTAGGCCAAAAAATCATTAATTTAAATTCAAAAAACTGTTTTATGTTAGTTTTTATTTGGGCAATAGATCCGCATACTCAATTCAGTATTTAAAAACAAAACAAAAATTTTTAATTTTTTGACAATTTTAACGAACCTTTTTTAACCTTTTAAAATTTTCAAAAAATTGGACAAATTTTTGTTTCTTCCGCAGATGTCTAGAAACAATCGGCTGTTGATGCTGATCAAGAATATATACGATTTATAGGGTCGGAAATGACTCCTTTAAGCGTTACAAGCTTTTGACTACAATTATGATGCCCTGAAAGGGCATAAAAATGGTCATTGTTTTAAGAAAAATCTAGCATACATGGCGTATACTTAACGTGAAAACACTTATATTAAGTATACGCCATGTGTGTTTTAGAGTAGAATTAGAAGTTTATAAATTTATAAAAAATATGTAGATTCAGTAAAAAAGCTAGGTTAGAAATTTGATAATTAGATCGAATCGTAAATTGATCGTAACTAAGTATCAAATTTGTATAATAAACACTATTTTAAAAATCGCATAACTTTACCAAAAATGGTTTAATTTTAATTCGGAAAGCGTTCCTATGTTAGTTTTTATTAGCTTAATAAATCTGCATACTCAATTTAAAATCTTACAAAATTAAAAATTTTGACGATTTTTGACAATTTTAACGATGTAACCCCTTGTAAAAATTTAAAAAAATTGAAAAATTTTTTTTTCTTTCAAAGCTGGCTAGATCGATTCGGTTTTCGATGCTGATTAAGAATATATATGATTTATGGGGTCGGAAATGTCTCCTTCACTGCGTTTCAAGCTTCTGACTGAAATTATAATAACATATAATATATAATAACATATATTTAAATATATTTTCTTGATTTTTTTCTGTTTTATATACAAAAGCTAATCAGTCAACTTTCAGAACTTTAACTTGACAATTTCTAGTACACTCTTTCATAGAAATTATATAAAATATATAATTAACATATAATTTCCTAAATGCCAGAGCATTTTCCTATTCGTTGCAACTCTTGTGACAAACATTTTTTCCTTTTTTCCCCGCTCCCCTCTTAGCTTGATGTTATTTTTCTTTTTGCCTTTAGATTGTTATTTTTGTTTTGCGCGTGCGACGCAGCATATGAAAACACGTGTAGGACCAAA